CTGGGCCAAAATCAAGGTGTGAGCAGAGCTCTGATCCTTTCTGGAGGTCCTAGGAGAGAATCCATTTCTTTGCCTTCCAGAGGCCCCTTACATTCCTTAGCTCATGGCTTCCTTTCATTTTCAAAGCCAGCAACGTAGCATCTCTCTAATCATTGTCACATTTCTCCCTGACCAGCTGGGAACCAGCTGGGGAAGGTTCTCTACTTTTCCAGATTTGAGTGATCAGATGTCTGCCTCCCCAGGATAATCCAGGATAACTTCTCTAGTTTAAGGTCTTCGATCTGAATCATAGTTTTAAAGTCCCTTTTGCCATGAAAGGTTAACATCCCCGGGTTCTGGGGTTTGGGGCATAGACAACAAGGGGCATTATTCTGCTTACCACCACCACCTTCCTCTTTTTTGTGATGAGGACTATAAGACTGAGAGATGGTAGAGAGGCCAGTGGATTTACCAACACCCATCTACGAAGTACGATCAGAGCTATTTTTTTTTTTTAAGATTTTTTTATTGATTTATTTGACAGAGAGAGAGACAGCGAGAGAGGGAACACAAGCAAGGGGAGTGGGAGAGGGAGAAGCAGACTCCTTGCTGAGCAGGAAGCCCGATGAGGGGCTCGATCGCAGGACCCGGGATCATGACCTGAGTTGAAGGCAGCCGCTTAACCGGCTGAGCCACCCAGGCGCCCCGATCGGAGCTATTTTTGATTGGAGGTCTGTTTGATTCGGAATCTTATGCTCTTAGACGCCTTGCTACACACAGCTCTGGGCTTTCAGCACATAATTTTACCCATTAAAGGGGCTCCCCTCTATCCCAGTGATTTATGAGTGTTTGCATGTGCTGTTTTAAAAATAGCTTGAAAAAAAAAATAAAAGCAGTTTGGAGGGTTCTGATGTTTCAGAGAGTTAAAATGATTTTTCCTGAGGTAGGTGAGGAATGTATGGGCAATTTGGAGTTTATTTGAATGTGGGTTTATCTATAATTGTGGGTGTTACCCTAAATTCAACATGTCTGTTCTCATGGAGATTTGATGGATGAATGGATTGGAAGAGAGATTAAGTCATAACTATTGAAAGTAAAAATGAACTTTCAAAAATGATCTACTTCATGGACAGCAGTGAAGATTCCATCTGTTAAGATATGGATATGAGTCATGTTTCACAAATTTAAAAGCAGACATTTCCTTTATTTTTTGAAGGGCATGATAGAGATTTTTAATATGTGATGTTTTGTGAAGGTCTCGTTTTCTTTTGCTGTGCTACTATATACATTCTTGTAGAGTAGATTTTCTAAAATTATATACCCTTCCCAATTTAACACAAAATTACTTCATATCTGCACCTGGCACTTAAATTTTGGTTTAAAAGAAAGCTGTGGAAATTGTATGTTATTGGCATATTGCAAATCACCAACTGTGATTCTGCCACTGAAATTCAAACAGCATTTGTTCATGACACAGTCCAGATTTCATAATACTTGTGTTTTCTAAAAATGCTGGAGATAATTATTGAAACTAATATATATGTATAAGTTCTTCCATGTGTGGCATTTAAAGACACATTCTTTGTAATTTGTAATCTCCATTCTCAGTTTGCAGAAAGGACTTGATTCTTGAGAAAACACACCAATGTAAAAAGTTAATAACAAAACTTGCATTGCATTTGCTTCCAACTGAACACCAAGTGTCAAAACTTAATATCTTCAAAATCCATATTAAGCCACACACCTTGTGAGAAGTCTGATGATATTAAAATCAAGTATGGAAATTCAAAATCTCAGTGAAGAGCTTGAAATAGATATTGGTAGTTTATCAGGGTTACCAGGGTACCTTGACTCTTCGTTTTATTTCCCAAATTGAAAATTGTAAATTGGATGTTACTGTGGATGGATGAGCATTCTAGTGCAGGATTATCGAACTATGGCCTATGGGTGAAATTTGGTCCATCACCTGCTTTGTAAATAAAGTTTTATTTAAACCTAGTTATGCTCGTTTATTTATGTATTGCCAGTGGCTGTTTTTGTGCTACAATGGTAGAGTCAGATCGTTGTGACAGAGGCTGCATGGATTGCAAAGCTCCAAAAATATTTACTGTTTGGACCTTTCAGAACTTTACTGACTGCTCATCTAGCCGAATGTCTGTTACTAACCCTGGGAGTTGTTCCCAGTCAATGTCAGATAAACAGGCTGATTTTATTTCTGTTTATGGAAACTTCAGTGCATACATACAAACACCTTTCTGTTATTTATAACTGCTAAGAATTTCTTTTCCCACTTATGTTGCTTATTATAAGGTTGAGTGGCCCAACTATTCATCCTACTTTAATTTCTTCTTACCACTTAGCCTCCCTCCATGTTGTTTAATCAGCCAATTATAGATGATGCCACAGCAGGGTTCTGAGCTTCCTGTTGTGTACATGTCTCTTTGACCTTATGATGGTTTTCTTTTTTGTGTTATGAATTGATTGACAATATATAAATGTTCATGGAAATATCATTTGTTCAAAATGACAAAACCATCTATGAAATGAGGATTGTAATTATAAATGCTTCTCATGTTCTGTAAATTTATCATACCATCCTTTAACTGATAAGACTTTTAGCATTGGAGAAGCTTGAATTAGAGGTAGGTAGGAGTGGGTTTTTTTGGGTTAGTTATGGTTCTGCTTTCCTTGGAATGCTTCGCTTAGTTTACTAGGCATAGGGTTGTAATGTGAATGACCAAGGTGGTGTTGGCCCTTGGAACTTTATTACTCTGAGATTTTAAAGTGCTATCACTGTTTGGTTATCAGAAGAAATAGATTGAATTTTAATTTTCATGTTATTTTGTAATGCTGTATTATGAAAGTTTAATTTTGAAATACTTTTATACTTGAGAAAAGTTGCAAAAATAGTTGCATATACCCTTCATCTACCTCGAATATAAAATCTGACATAACTATAATACAATTATCAAAGTTAGGAAACTAGTAACATTGAGTAAATACTGTTAACCAATCTACAGCCCTCATTTAAGTGCTGCCTCTTTTCTACTGGTGTCCTTTTTCTAGTCCACGATCCAGGCAAGGACCTCATGCTGCCTGTAATTCTTGTTTCTCCTCTGTCTCTTCCAATTTACACAACTACATCAGCCTTTCTTTTGCTTTCATCACTTTAATATTTTTAAAGAGTGTGAGTTATTTTATAGATTGTCCCTCAATTTGGATTTATCTTATGTTTTCTCATGATTAGATCAAAGATATGCATTTTTATCAGGAATACCACCAAAGTAATTTTATGTCCTTCTCCGTGCATTTTATCAGAGGTGATATGACTCATTACTGGTGATGTTAACCTTGATAAAGTGGTGTCTGGCAAGTTTCTCCCCTGCAAAGATACCATTTTTCTCTTTTTAATGAAAAAGTATTTTGTGGGGAGATACTTTGAGATATGCAAATACCCTGTTTCTCGTGATATGCTCACCCAATGATTTTAGCTTCCATTGGTGATTTCACCTGCAGCAATTCTTGCTGTGGAGATTGCTTGGTGATGACTTCTATTTCCATCATTCCTTCTCTTTTTCTTAAATCGAATGCTACAGTATGGAAGAGCTATCTATTTCCACCGTTAATTATTTCTTCAATTATTTATTTGTATCATTATGGCCTTACAGATATTAGGTTTGTTTTTGGGTTAAAATCCAATTGTATCATTATTGACTTGTTTATGAGTTGTCCCACCTTTGGCCATTGGGAGCTCCTTTGGGTTGACACCTGATTCCCTTTGATGTGCCTCTTTCACTTTGGAGTACTCTTTACCTTTTAACATCAAAGGTGTTCCAGGCCCATCATATATTTTCTCTGCCCCAACCCTGGAATTAACTATTTTTTTAAGGAGCCCTTGTTTATTTATTGGAAAATGGTAACAGAAACCAAGATCCGGGCGCTTGTGTTCCTTCATACTGTATGTGGTTGCTTCTAGGACTTCCCAGTGAGGGGGGGAGCTAAGAACCACATATGCATTAACGTTCATCCATACCTATCTATCTGTCCACCTACCTACCCACTTATAAAAAAACACATGTTCATATTGATGCCTCTAATTTTAATCTAATATCACAGAGTTTATTTCTTTATTTGTAACTTCTGTTTCTGACAGGGAGAATTTTGATTCTCATTATCCAAAATATTTTTCTTTTTCAATCATTCCTGGTGTGTGAGTGTGTGTGTGTATGTGTGTGTGTATAGTAGTGTGAGGATTTCTAAACCATACGCTTGTGAGAAACAAACTGATATGACAGTTTTTTTTTTTTTTTTTGTCTCTAGCCTTAACAGTAAACAGTGAAAATAGTTTTCCAAAATTACTTAAGTCTTTTCCTCCCCACTAACCTCGTTGCTCCCATTTTCTTTTTCTTTCATCCCTGTTCTTACCAACTCCTGGGAGACAACCGTATCTTTTATCCTTCTTATATTCCTTATGCACAAATGGGCAGACACGTGTAGTTTTTAATACTCCTTCCTCCTATGTGAAAGGTACCTTATATCTTTTGCTATATATGTAGTACTGCAGAGCATGTATTATATATAGAAATGCATTTGCTTTTCCACTTAGTATATCATTTACAAAAAGATTTAAATCTACCCCATCTTCCTTAGCATTCTGTGATAAAAAACCATTTTATTATTTTTCACCAGTAGAATTTCAGATATGAAACGCACAACTTAGAAATACAAAAGTAAAGCATCAAAACTCAGGGGAAGACTATGTCTTTGAAGTTTTGCTTCCTAAAACATAATATTCCTGGGTGCTTAAGTGTCAGTATTTTTCCTCTGTAGATTTATGTCAAATGTGGTGTAACTTTAGTAGCAATTTCGTTTTACTTTATTTTAAATTTAATTTTATTTAGATTCCGCTAATTAATGTGTAATGTATTCGTTACAGAGGTAGAGTTCAGTGATTCACCAGTTGTTTGGTGGCAGTTTTAAATGCCTTTGTTTGTAAATGCAAACGTACCTTTCATTTCTAGCTGGTAGCCGTGTTTGACGAGCAGGACCCACACCATGGAGGTGATGGCACCAGTGCCAGTTCCACGGGTACCCAGAGTCCAGAGATATTTGGCAGTGAGCTTGGTACCAACAGTGTTTCAGCCTTTCAGCCTTATCAAGCAACAAGTGAAATTGAGGTCACACCTTCAGTCCTTCGTGCAAGTAAGTGAAAGCTCTTTCTTCTCTGCATGTTTCATCTTGATTTACGGGGATGCCAACTCTTGTTATCCAGCCATGCTCCTGTGAATGGAATTCATTATCTGTTTTTATCAAAAATTGATTAAGTTTAGAACCTGGGCAAATGTCTTTTGCTGGAGAGGTAGGCAAGATTCACATTTCAATACATTGGGCTTACTTTACTTCAGACTGGTAGACTTTTAATTGCTCACTAAAGGTAAATAAGGATAACAGTTCAAGTTGTATTCCTGGATTTTTCTTTCCGTGTTTTTCATCTGAATGCTAGATCAAATAGGAAATAGTCAGAGGCCTTCACACCGAACCCAAACATAGCATCTTTGGTGGATAATCAACTTGGATACAACCATTACTTGAACTTATCTGAAGAGATGTCAGGGCCAGAATTATTGTCAGAGATCTGGAAGAGCTGCTATTAGAATACCATCTCAAGGAAAGAAAATATAGGGCTTAGTGAGTTTATATGAGGAACCCAGGGACATAGAGGACTCAAGTTCTAGGACACTTGCCTGAAGAATTCTGTCAGCTGTTCCTGGCAGGTTTACACAAAAAGGTGAAGAACTTTTGCTAAAAATAAATTTAGTGTTTGTAATGGTCTAATCTTATAATTGAGTAGTTTTTAAGAATAAGAAGGTCCATTTCAAGAAATGTGTAAGTCAAAAATCATTTATCTTTTAGTCACATCTGTTTAGAAACATTGCACTTTTTCAAGTGTTGTGTGGTTTTACCGGTAGTCTTTTTTTTTTTTTTTTAAGATTTTATTTATTTATGTGAAGAGAGAAAGAGAGACAAATAGGGGGAGAAGCAGGCAGAGGGAGAGGGAAAAGCAGGCTCCTTGCTGAGCAAGGATCGATGTGGGGCTCATGGGATCATGACCTAAGCCGAAGGCAGACGCTTAACTGACTAAGCCCCCCAGGTGCTCCTAATTTTACCAGTAGTCTCATGTGATTTTACTGATAGTCATCAGTAGATCTTCATATATAATAGGTAATAATATGTAATATAATACAAAATTCTATGTAGAATATAGTAAGATAATATTTAGAATATAGTTTATTCTTTATAAAATTTAGGTTTGTTTGTACACATGTACAAACAGATTTTAAACTAATTTTGTGGAACATTTGATTACTGCATGGATATGCTCTTTTAAAAATCTTATCTTGGATTTGCTTCGGGCAGTGTTTTTCCAAATGTGAGGTGTGTACCATGTATGGTATGCAAGGTAATATATAAGTGGGACACTAGTTACTTTACTTTCTTTGATTGCATATCAGCTCATTAAGCCCATGCTCTAATGATTATCTTCTTGGAATAAACTCATTTATAAAAAGTGGATTGCCTAAATGTGATTTTTGTTTTTTAAATTTTCTCGTGTAGTGTTCAGTAGTTTATCAGTTTTGAATAACAACCAGTGCTCTTTACATCACGTGCTCTTCTTAATGCCCATCACCAGTGACCCCATCCCCCCACCCACCTCCTCTCCAGCAACCGTTTGTTTCCCATAATTAAGAGTCTCTCATGCTTTGTCTCCCTCTGTGATGACTTCCCATTCTTTTTTCCCCTCCCTTCCCCTACAGTCCTCTGCCCTGCTTCTTATGCTCCTTATACGAGTGAAATCATATAATTGTCTCTCTGATTGACTTATTTCTAAATGTGACTTATAGTAAATTTTAATTAAATAATAGTATATTCAGGTGCCTGATATTTGGAAAATAGTGTCTTTATGTGAATAATTACACCCTAATTTATATAATTAAATACAGAGCTTTTTTGTGTGTTATTGTTGTAGTTTTTAATTCATGTTTTATGAAGGATGCACCTTTAATTTAACGGCACCTTAAAAAAGTGTTAGAGGAAAGGTAAATGGCTGTCTTTATGTTAAGAAGAATTTGAATGGCATACTTCCCATCAATTTCTGTCTTTTGTTCTGGATGCAACAACATTTCTTAAGCACCACGACCCACATTTGGCTGGTCCTGTGTGTTAAAATTTAAATGCTGTTTTTACACAAAATATTTTTGTGTTATCTTGTTCTTAGTGAGCAAAGGAACTTATATTTGAAGCATTGGCAATGTCTTATAGCCATCAGTGGGAGAATATATAAATACTGCTTTCTAGTTCTGAATTTTATATGCTAAGTTTATTTAGATTTTATGGCTTTGGCAGCCATTGGGTGAGTGTATGGTAAGCATCTATTAAATACAAGGTTTGGTGACTATGTAGAAGTTACCCATTATATATGAGTCCCCTATCTATTAAGATGATTTTTCATACTGTTTTAATACCACTGATTCAAACATAATGTAAGAGTTGGACAATACTGGGCCAGGCATTGTGATATGTGATGAGTCCAGAGTTGAGTTAATAAGGCCTAGTCCTTATCAACAAAGAGTTTATGTTTAGTGGTCTTTCTGATTTACAGATAGGAAAATAAAGAAGCCAGCAATATGTAGAAATTTGCTGAATTGAGGAGTAATCAACTCTAATTAGGGGCATGGTTAATAAAAGATTTTAGATAAACTCCTAATGCTTACCTTGAAGAAAGAAAGTGATAACTTTCCTGTGTTTTCCAAGTCTTGCTATGATTGAATTCACTCCTCTCCTTCTTTGCATGAAGAACTGATGGAAGCTAAGAAAAGTATGCAACTTTTTTGGTCACTAGAACAGTGGATATTAATTTTGAGAATTAAGATAAAGCCTAGGTGAATTTAATACACAGAATTCTCATCTTAAGATCTTTTCATGTTTTTTTAGAAGTTGCCACGAATTTGTCCTTGTAGTACATATAAAGTGAGAACCTTGATTTAGTTGAATTAGTGGTTCTCAGGTATGATTGATATTTCCCACAAGGGACAGTTGACGATATCTGGAGATATTTTTGGTTGTCACAACTGGTAAAGATTTGGTGGATACTATGAGTGTCTGATTAAGGCCACGGATGTTACCAAACATCCTACAAGGCATAGGACGTCATCCACATCAATTCTCCAGCCCAAAATGTCAATGGTACTGAGGTAGAGAAACCCTGAATTAAATGAATCGTTGTCCTTATGGTCAAAAATAGCAATTATCTAAGCTCAAACTGACACTTGAGAAAAATTTTCTTGAGCCCAGTATATTGAACAACGTTCTGAATAATGCCCTTAAACTGAAGGACGAAACATGATGACCAGCTAATAATGATATTGCTCATAGAAGGTAATCAAGAGACCATAATAACAAAAAAGAGGGAATTATGGGCAGTATTACACAAATGTATTTTATTAGAGTAAAAATACAAATTTTCCTAAATTCCAAAAAACGTGCTTTAAAAAATGAGAAAGTGAATAAAATAGACCACACAGTGAAAGACTATTTAGATAAAAGCTTCTTATGTTGAAGAAATAAAATAAAAAAGGATAACCATAAAGAATAGGTAGCTATGGGGAACAGAGAGAATAAGATGGATGAAGTGGAATAGAAGTAGACAACCTCTTGTTTGTATATTTGGTGTTCAAACCATATTATATTTTATGTAATTATAATCAAATTTTATTTTAAAAATAAAATTCTTTATAACAATATTAATAGTTAAATAGTAATTCTTAAAAATCATATAACAGAACTACACATAAATATATATCCAGTTGGTTGCTCACTCATCCAAGAGTTAACTATTTTGGATAACTGTAAAACTTAGTAATTTATACCACCAAAGGAAGATTGGGGGAAAAAAAAAAAAACTGCCAAACAAACAAGAACAGTTTGTTGTTGGTAAAATTGGTCCTGTTAGTCTTAGATTGTTGGGTGGATATTATGAGGTGGAGCAAATGAAGAATTATAATAATATTCTAACTCTGTTATTCCTTGTGCCATCGAGGATCCAGGATTCAGAATATAGAAGAAAAGGGTACAGATGTAAGTTAGAGGAGAATAAGTAAAAATTCCATGGTCCTCAGTTTGAATAGAACGTATAATGAATCTGTGGTATGTTTTGTTACACACACACACACACACACACACGAAGGAGGGAGGAAGGGAAAATCCTGTGTGTGTTCACTGAATATGTCTTGAATTAACACTCCAACCCAGTAACTGAGCATTCCTGATGTCCAGATTGTGTTTTGGAAATAGTATCTTCCATTAAGAGGGATCAGAGCTTTTTGGAGAAATGCTGAATTCTGATCCAGGCAGGAAATGCAGGAGGTGATTCTGGGTCATCCTGCCATATCAGAAAATAAGGAAAGCTATGAAAGTGACTGGGGTGTGTCATCATTGCCCAGGTGTCATGTTGAAGTTCCCACTGGACCAAGAGGGATGATTAGAACATCAGGAAGGGTAGTAATAGCAATGCATTCATGAGTTTATAATGATAATAAATAAGTAAGCAAGGTAAGGGATCCTAGTGAACCAACTTATTATTTGGAAAACTGATAAAAGAATTAAAGAATAAGGTATATTTCCTGTATGAATGGTATTACTGGGTAACAAAATAGTAGATGAAAGGGAAGTTTCTCTTTATAGAGGTATAGTAGATGAAGGGAAAGTTTCTCTTTATAGAGGTATCCTAGCTAATAAATGAAGAAGCAATGATAGAAGGAGAATATTACTTTTTTGTCATTCCTGATGAAATAATGGATTGATGCATTTATCATCAATCACTGATAATATAAAAAGATAATAGTAAATTGAGAGTTAACTAAGTATCGTGATCTTCCTGATGGAAGAATATAACACTATGAAGTAGTCTTGGCAAAAGAAATTAAACCTAAATCCAATCAAGCATCTAGATCCAATTGTCAATTTATAGGAAATCCTAAACACTGGGAAGCATGTTAACACCATAGACATCCAATCAGTCAAGTCAAGGTGGTGGGAAACTATACAAGACAAGTGACCCAGGTTCTTCGATAGATCAAGTACAAGGTCGGGAAAGAGGTAGAGCGGGAACACAGATTAGTAGAGACTTAAGAGACGTAACATCC